TGTCGAAACGACGTCGATCGACGAATCATTTCTGACTCGGATTCGTACTCGGACATGAAAAAAGATTAAATGTGTCTAAATTCACATATTACATAAACTTTTGCCCGACAATTTGGATGTAAAAATCTTTTCATTAATTACTGATTACGTTGGCATAAATTTATCAATAGCATGTTGAACGTGATACTGCTAAATTGGAGTCGATGAAAGTAGTAGAACCTCGATTATATCTGGATTTCGGTTATCCGAATATTCGGCTAATAACTTAATAAGTTATAATTAAATTAATTAAATTAGTTGTTCTCTACTTGTGGCACTTAATGTTTTCAATAAAGTTTTTGGTCATATGCTTGTAAAAGTCCATTTATTTTACATCATATAATATAATTTGTGTTCGAGACGCGTCAAAGTGTAAACTATAGATGCTGAATTCACGGAAGTTCGAAATTATAAGGGTCTTAAGTCTTTTAAATAAGTATAATCACAATGACGTAACAACACCGAATTTCAGATTAAACAATACGAGTAACTACAGCCTTCAAACACGCGGGAAAAACGGAAGTGTCCGAGAGAGTTCACGCGCGAATAATAGGCGAGAGGGAAAACGGATTTTTCCTATCGAAAGCGAAACGAAAAGAAGGCGTCGGGACTCGTGGAGTCCCCGCTTTTATTGAGAAGGCGAATGTGCTGCAGCAGATCACCAATAATCTTTTGCCATTATGAAAATCCTGAGGTGACCCCAGGGCGCTTTGCGTGATCGGTAGTCACGGGGCCCTTACTAATGCCGCTCGCAATTGACATATATGCGCGGGGCGAGCACCCGAGTGGCTGAGTGGAGATCGGCGGAAGAGACACCTGATCACGTGCACGCACTGTGATCGGGCAGAACTACGGCTGTTCGGATATCAATAATAATTCTGTTTTGTTGACATGGGCCCTTGTGCGGAGTCACCGCAAGTCGGTCGTTGGTAGAAACGTTCAGCCGAACGACGGAATATTCTAGATAATCTAGATGATGACTTATACACGACGCCCATGCCAGCAAAAGAAAAAATTAAATCTGAGAATAATGATGATTTTAGAAAGCAATTGAAATATAACGTAACATTATTATAAATTAGTAAAATGAAACAAATTTATTTTTTCCCGTACAATACATTAGTATTACTTTTAAATTAATAAGTATAAGTATTGTTTTAATTTTATTTTATATGTTGAATAATAACAATAAGTATATATAATTGTATTAATAAATATACAAATTACTTTTATATTGATCTTTTTATATTAAGCGACTTTATGAATTTAACACTATTGAATACAATTCGTCTAAATCGTTATAAAAATATAATAATATTCGTTGCAAGCATCTAAAAATTGTATATTTAAAAACTTTAAATAATAAAACGTGCTTTATGTGGCATCCATTTGTTAGTCGCATATGTACTTAATGCTTAAACCTCGTTTATGAATAATAGGCAGGAAGAATAGAAATCAAAAGTCGAAAAACTAAAAACTTTCGGCTTAGATATATGTTTGAAAACAATTGGTTACGCTATTTGTTAATATCTCCTCGAGCTACCCCAGATTAAAAAAAAAATCATCGCTCTACGTTAACTGGTTGCTGAGATAATGTAAGTTCCGACAGTTTGAACGCGCAAAACGTGTCCCTGGTGCTCGCGCTCGCACGCGTTGCGACGAGCCGCCGTTTCCCCCACTCCGCTTCCGCACATTGCCTCGCTCACGTACCGGAACTTTATGAATTTTTATAAGCGAATTTTCTGAAACGATAAATTCGAAAATTTAGGGACAATAACTTCAACTCTTCCTCCAGACTGTGTAAAATTTTT